CTTTTTTTGACCCTTAGGGCTTTTGCTAAGGGGAGATCGCTTTATAAATAGCATTGCTAGATTCAGTAGAGATTTCAATAAGAGAAGGTTTAGATGCAAACAAAAAAACCCTGATGAACTGATGAAAAGCAGAGTTATGCTGTTTAACCAGGTTGTTTTCACTCAGGAGTAGAAGTTGGTGATGGAGGTAGCTGTGTCTTTGATGTAGCCGTGTTTATTTCCAAAGCGTGGTTAAGAAAAAAAAATAAAAATAAAAAAATAAGAGAGTCCTGTTTCCCTGAACCACTGGGGAATCCAACAACAGGACTCAGTTTATTTGCTTACAGTTCCAAAACGCTTTCCAGTCAGCATCCTGCCCAAAAAGCTTCCTTTCTTTGCTTTCTCTGACACAATTTCCAGTGGTTCCTTGGTGATTGCTTGGCTTTTTGGCTCCTTGTTGCCTTTTCTCGGCTCCTCGCGAGGCGCCTGCAGCCGCATGAAGCCCTCCTTTCACCCGAGCCTCGTTTGACCGCTCTCACCCAGGGCCGTGGCTCCAGGCTGGTTCCTCTGCAGCCCCTTTGCTGAAGCAGGAGAGCTGAACTTTCACCTCTGTTTATCCAAAAATTATAGGCTTTTTTTTCCCCTTGCATGCATTAGCACCAAGAAGCTTCCATCCAGCCGCCAGCACCACAGTGCAAACAGCTATTTCAGCTTTTGCAAGCTAAACTGAGTGCAAGGAGGTGCGGCTGGTTTCCTTGCAGGTGCTGAGCACAGTCCTTCAGCAGAGCAGAAGGCAATCCGTACCCTGCCCCAGTGCTCAGGACCCTGAAGGATCCATGCCCTGCATTTGTTTACTGGAGGGAGTTGATAAAACAGGGCTTTGTTCTCTCGAATTGCTTTATTCTGGGGGAAAAGGGGAAGGTTTGAGAACTCTCTTCTGACAGCAGCATGGAGTGGCTGGGTATAGTCGTTTGTTCCAGTGGTCTGGCCTCTGAGCGCCGGAGATGCACAGTTCCCTCCCGGAGCTGCTGGGCTCCCTGCTCTCCTTGGTGCACGTTCCTCAGCAGGAGATTTTGAAGGCACGACTGGAGTTTTCGTGTCATCTCTGTCACCTCCCCTTTGGGGGAAAATCATTAAAGGCTTGAAAAGTATTCAGTGGTGTATAATGAAAGGATGCGTGAGGAAGCACAGCACACAGCTATGCTGGTTTTCAGAAAGAACTGCTGAGGGTAAATCTGCACTGACGTGTTTAAATAAATAAGAAATTACTTTGCAATGCAAATATGTCAAATCTCAACTATTGAGTGATGTAGTGAAGTTTCTTAGAAATCAGATTTCTAATAATGAGATAAGAGAAGGGGAATGACATTTTGGCATTATCTAAGGGATTCTGCTTTTACTGCTAGATATGGTGATTTCCATTTATCATGTAAAAGCAAATGCTGGGGCAGAAGATGGTGAGTTTCAATAAATTAAGATGGGAGTATTATTAGATGAAAATAAGAGCTTCCATTGTGGCTATCTATTTATAGGTGTAATAGGTACTCAAAATATTATGAGATCATCTTAGGCATGGAGAAAGCAATCTGCTCTGTTGCTAGCATGCGCCTTTGTCTTGGGGCTTAGGGACTGATGAACGTCCCTCAATTTCACTTGCCAAGATAAAGAGACTTTCCTCTTTCTACCAAACCAAACCCTTACAAATAATTCAGAAAACTTTCCTTGCCGCCGGGGTCAGCTAAGGCTAGTTTGGCTCCGAAGCGGTGTGGATCTTTACCCCCTTTGATGGGACTGAACTGAGAAGATGGTGCATTAGAGGAAGTCTTGCAGAGCCACTGGCTGTTCTCGTGAATAAACAGCTCCTCTTTTCAAGGAGAGAATTTGCCTTTTGTGAAAGGTGGTAGCTCCTCTTCCCTGAAACTAAATCAGATCCTTATTTACGGAGGAGGAGCAATGTGTGAAGGAGCAGAGTGAGTCTTTGCACGCAGGCTTGACCTGGAAAGACCTGCTGAGGCTGGATGTGTGCTCCAGGAGCCATCCTCACCCACCCCGGCCCGTGGAAGGGACAGGTCACTGGCATCTCATTTGTGATCCTGGAGCACTGTGTGAGCCATCAGGCTGGGGCCACCAAATCATCTGCGTACACCTGGCCAGCAACACTCAGACATTGGTAAATAAAGCCCCGATACTCAAATATGCTCTAAGTGGAGTTAGCTGCAGCCTGCACGGATACATCACGAACCTTGGCATAAGCATGTATGGCTGCAAGCAGCCACGCTGTAAGTGCCAAGGCAGTACCACGATAACTGAGTCCCAAATTGTTTTGCCACGCACTGCTCTCCCCAGGAAGCAATCTTCTCTCACCCTCTGTTCCAGAAGCAACACACCCTCCTACAGTGCACCCTTTCCTCAGGAGCTGGCCCAAGGTTTGGGTAAAATTGCCTTAATTCCTGCTCTTGTGCCTCAGCCATGAGATCACAGGCTGGAGGAGTGCAACCATCTTACAGCTGGGAGTGCATCCTCTCTCTGGCACAAGCTGCAGCGCTTGGGCACGGTGAAGTGTTTCGATCGCTGCTTCTCAGAAACTGGGAGGCACAGGTTTTCCAGATATTTTTTTTTCATTACAATACTCTGAATGAAAGTGAATGGGTAGTTGTGTTCAGGCATTAATTCTGTTTGTCCGTCTGTGTACAAGCTGAGCTCCTAACTCCAGAATTTGAAAGACACTGATTTTTATCAATTGACCTAACCCCAGTCAAGGAGGAGTCTCATTTTTTGTCTCAAAGGCTTAAAGTGAAGTGTATGCTCAGCCTCCTCCTCCCTTCCTCCCTCCCATGTTTTTCTTTTAAAATTCAGAGGCTTTGAACCCCCTAAATTACCAGGTTCGTTTCCTGCCTGTGTTTTATTTTAGCTTTCAGAATGCTAGTCAGGGAAAGAAGCTGGAAAAGTGCTACGAGGGGGAAATATCCTTATCACTGAGCTGTGAACTTTGGACTTCCCATCCTCTGGGTTTTACTGTTCTGTTCATATCGGGGAGCAATACAAAAACACCCAATTGTCTCCTCTGAAAGAAAGATTAAGGACTGTTATTAAAAACCCCAAACTTTTCTTGCAAATTCTTCTGCAGTGAGCTTATTTTACGTTAAATCCTATCTCTTCCAAACAGCTGCATCTTTAGATTAAGTATGTTGTTCATCATTCATTTTACTTCTGACATTGTTTTTTTTATCTGCTTAGAGCTATATTTGAATTTTTCTCATGGAAGTTTGCCACTGAGCTTAAAAGAAGTAGATTTTAGCCATAAATGGAAGCCAAAGTGATAAATATATTTTTTAAAAGATTTGCAGTGTAAAATATATAACTTATTTCCTAATTCTTAATATAGTTTGTAGGAATCAGATCTCACATTACAAGAAGCTGAAAGCATGTATCATTGCAAGCTGAAAGTCTAAGTTATGCCACATTTATATACAACCCTTTCCTAAGCTTATATTAAAGTGTCTTTATAATCGTGACTTCAAGTACAAAAAAAAAAAAAGCCGTAACCAAAGGCTATTTTTCACAAATCTGAAACAAACAACAGGGATAGAAAAGTCCTTAACTTGTCATCTGCAGTGGCACAATGAGAATTACAATGTGAATTATAACTCTTTCCACTGCAACAGTTTGGAGGAGTAGCTCACATAGTAATTGCTTTCCAAACACTTGGAAATCATCTTTCTCACTTTAAACGGAAACATTCGCCTCTCCCATCCCAACCATCGTATAGTTCAAGCAAGAGCAATGAGATCTGCCTGTATAGAAAAAACATTGCTAATCTCCATTGAAATGCACAACTCGAGCCCGTCCCCGGCTAGTTTTATCCCACAGATTTGCCTGAGCCTTCAGATTTCAGAAAACACTACAGTCCTTTTGTCAGAGCTGCCATTAAATCTGGATGCTTTTCTGCCGAGTTAGAAAGTGAGGAAATAGAAACTTACCACGGCAGAGAGGCCAGGGCTGAGACCATGCCCACAGCTCGGCAGATTTCAGCCCGATTCCTCCCTGACAGCCCACATTTCTCCTTTTTGTGTGCGTGTAACGCAAGCCGAGCGAGTCCCACACGGAAGATCTGCGCCCTCGACTTTCTCCAAGTTTACCCGTTCATCTTGAAAACCTAGAGCGACTGGGAGTCGTCTGCCTTCCTTTGTTCGGAGAGGAAACCAAACTGCTGAACGCTGCGGCCATCGTGTCTTGGGAAACGGGCCACAAGAATGGGCCCAATGTCTGGGCAGGGGCGGTGGGCAGGGGGAACTCTTGGGGGTCTCGGTTAGGAAAGGCTTTCCATTGGGCAGGGCTGTAGCGTTAGTGCCTGAGCCCGCCCCGCGGGCTGCTGGGTCCCTCTCACGGGGCTGTATTCCCTTCCCGAGCATCACCCAGCCCAGCCATCTCCCTGGTCAGAATGAGCAGCTTAAGGACAACCGACAAGGGGTAACAACACGGATTTCCTGAGCAATTAGTTGGCAGGGAGAGCCTGCCTGCGCCTCCATGCCGGGGATGGTAATGAGCAGGGGAAAAGCTGTTTAAATCTCGGATTTTCCTTTGCACGGCTGTAATTGTTTTTTCTTTCCAATTAAAAAAGTGAGGGAGGAGCTGGGAATCAGGAAAGCGTTGGGTAACACTAGGAAGCTGCAAAGCAAAGCTGGCCGTAAAACTAAAATATCTTTCTAAACAGATTTAGAAAGGGGTGGTTGTTTTTTTTAGGTTGGGGTTTGGTTGTTTTATTTCTTGTTTTAAATCTTCTCAAAGGAGCTGACTAGAGCAGTCTGGACTCTTGTCCCCCAGCAGTTTGCTCTGAAAGCCCTGGGTTCCTGCTGGAAAACCTGTAGGCTTTCAAATGTTTAGGGACATAATTACAAATACTCCAGGGAAGCGTGGCTGCTTTTGCCTGTGTAGCTCACCCTGAGAGCTGCTGCCGCCTTTCTGTGAATCTGCCTCCCAGCAGAGCCGCTAGCTAAAAGCTTTTTATTTTTATCTCTTACCTTTAATAGCAGCCCTTCGGCTAGGGAAGAGGATCTTCTGGCAGCAGCAGTTAATGCAGCAGACGGCTTATTTTCCTCAGCCTGTTTATGCTGTGGAGCAGCTGGTGCCCTTTTCTTTCTTTTTTCAGCCCTCTCCAGTTCCATAGGTTTGAAATCCTGAGTCTGCTTTTAAAGCCCAGCCTCCCACCTAACGTGTCTTGCTCGCATTGTGTTTGTCTCTCCTTTTCCTCCGCTCTTCTTGGCTGTTCCCACAGGCAGCCAAGGCCAGTAAACAACTCATTGTGAAGCTGGAACTAATGTTATTCCTTGGGCTGGTGGCTGATGCAGTGGTCTCTGACTCGCTTTTGCAGCACGCCCAGCTGCCACAGGCTTTTATCCAGTCGATGCAAATAACTTCCTGAGTATCTCGTGTAACAGCCCAACTCCAGTCTGCAAAACCTCATCCTCTGAGGGCTCACGGTTTAATAAAACCTATAAAAACCCGAGCGTGGATTTGGATTGAAAATGGTGAAGGTGCAGGTGTTTCCTGCTCCTAATGGTCAAAGGTCCATTTTCCCTTTTTCAGCTGGTAAAGACGACAGACAATCTGGGTAAATTGTGAAGGGATGGCCAAAGACAAACGTACGAATGTGAGGGTGAGCGTGGGGGCTGGCAGAAGGCTCAAGACCCAAAATGCACCAGTATCACCAGTGAATTTGCATACAGAAATCAGCCTGAGCCCTTCATGGCTTGTGGGCATTTTCAAGCTGGCTGCATGGAAATCCTGATCCCTCGGGTACATTGCAACTGCTTTTCACACCCTGGGGTGCATTCTTATGCGAGCGTGAGTGCTCTCAGTGGGGAGCGATTAAACAACACCTCTGCATTTGAAATCACCCTTTTTAGGGAAAAGAGTGTGGTTTGGATGGTTTGTAGCTGGGTGTACTGGTACAGATTAGAATGAGCACACAGAAATCTTTTGCAGATTAACATCTTGTGTGTCAGCCTTCAAAACTAGCGGGGCAAACCCATTAGAGAGGAGACTGACTACTCCTTGAAGATTAAATACAGCATAAATCTTAAAATAAAACAAAACTTCTGTGCTTCTTGCAGTATTTAGCCAGAACATGGCAATTGTGCCAACTTTGATGCTGTTGGAATTTAACCAGGCAGCTGTACCTATCTGGGATGTTTGCTTTCTCTGTAGAGTTCCCGGTTTAATTAAACACTCCTAACAAAGGTCTTCAGCTGTTGTGAACTTCAAGGGCTCTCAGGAACTCCTCCTTATAATGTTACCTCCAACCTAACAGGAGACTGGGGATGATATTTTTGCCCTTTATGGAGACCATCCTTCTAAAGCATCGCAGTGGTTCCAACTCCATATCCATGCATGTTTGCCATTGAATTCAAAAGTATCTCTAGTGAGCTGCTTAATCAGTCACCTGTTACTTTGGGCTTTTTCCTTTTAAAAGGAGCATCTTTTTCTGTTGTCTATAGCTAAAACTAGAAGCTGGAAAATTATAATCTCTAGGCTGACCCATGATGCTTCTCTCCAGGCTCTAAAGATCATTAAAAAAAAATCCCAACCTTTTCCCCTGTGGAACATAAAAGGGTTTTGGTATTAACAAGAAGGAAAATGTCCCCAGAGCAATATATTCCTGCTCCCCTCCAAGGCACCTTTCACAAAGCAATACACATAGGCCTTTATCCTTCCGCGCACCAGTTTAAATAGGTCAAATGGTGTGCTATCAATGTACTCTGTATATTTTTTTTTCATAAATAAAGTACAAACATTTCCAACAAAGTACCCTTAACATAGGTTTATTTGCCAAACATGAAAAAAAGGAGGTCGCTGCCTCTCTTCTTGGTTACAGTTACAGGCAAGTGTTTTCTTTAAAATGGAAAAACAATGAATAGACTCCTGGGCTCTTCATCTCTCCTCTCTGCGCAACTCATTTGCTGTCCCCACCCTGATCCCATGGTGTTCATCTTTGACTTGGGACAGGGTGGGATTTAGTGAGCTCTCCTTCTTAAAACATTGGCAGTACATCAATAATCTCCAGTTATTTTGGAAAACAAGGGGAACTGGACTGTTATCTTATTGGAAAGCACGGTTGCTGAGAAGGCATAACACGTTTAAGCAAAAGTTTTACCCCCTGTTTACAGTGCTCAAATTTTCTGCTTGTGCATAGAAACCCTCCTGATACGATACTTATGTTTGGGGTTGTGTACTGTGTCAGTGGTTTGGCGGCTTTTGGACTGGCATATGAGATTTCCCTTGATTTCAGTCAAGCAGGAATATCTGAATGTGAGGAAAACTTTTGCCCAGAAGACTGGCATGTTGCATTTCTGGATGATTAATACTTAATTCTTCTGCTGTCAAACATACTATTTTCAGTCATTTGATGCTTTATTGTGCCAAGATTCCTACTTCAGGGTACTCACAAGCACTCAAAAGGAGCCAAAGAGCAGAAACCAAATCAAAATTGCATTTTAAAGGCCACTAGAATATACATATGACAGAGACATTAGCTTTTCCCTTTCCTCCTCTATTCGTTGGCGAGGCTTGTTTCCTTCCTTTGCTTTCCTACAACAGCCGACTTAATTTGTCATTTGGCAGCTAAATGTTGTGTGGCTTTAGTTCACCCTGGTACGGCAGCACACCTCAGATATTCTGAGGCCCCATGGAGCCCTCGCTCGCGTAGAGCAGAGCCTGTGAACAAGGTGCTGTTAGGCTGCAGTGGTAAAAATGGACCATCCAGGAGCAGCTTCGCAGCACCAAGGTGGTTTAGGGACCGTGCTTGGGGAAGCGGGTAACCCCATGTTGCCAAAATGGGACTTTGAGCTTACCAACTCGGTAATTTAGAAATTTTGGCTGTCTACAATACATCCTTTTGGTGTCCTGTGTCATTTGCTCATCCTATGAAGCACACAGCTTCTTAAGGTCTCACGCTTTTAAAGCACCAGGACTACAGCTCCTGTGGAACAAGGTTAAGGTCTGGGTGACCCCAAAGGAAACATTTGGATGATTAAACCAACAGGTTCAATTCTGTTAGAAAGGAGTATTTCGTTTAGATGTTCTTCAGTAATACTGATGTTTTCCGGTGGGGTGGAGGGGGGAAGTGACTTTACAGAAGCCACAGTCTGTGCTGGAAAAGGTTTTAAAGGAAAATTCCTGAGCAGATATAGCAGAACCCTTTAGGAGCTCACTAATGCTGCAGTGTTTACTAGTACTTAATGGTTTGTCAGTGCTTCCATTTGAAATCCTTTTTGAAGAGTTTTATAACAAAGCCATAAAAAATCACTTTGGAATCAAATGGAAATGCAAAGCCCCATCCTGTTTATTTTTTTAAAATATGCATTTAGAAAAACCTCTTTAAATCATTTTAAATGCTGTAGAGAGATGGTAAAAAAAAAAAAAGAAAATAGCAAGTGCCCATTTGAATCAGTATCCTTCCTATTTGAAGATGGTTTCATTTAAAAACCTTGGTTTGTTAATTTACCGGCACTTAAAGCTCTATTAGTTTCCTATCCAATGGGATATTTTGCTAATAAATGACAGGATACTTCTTCTCCAAAGGTTTACTCAAATTGAAGATTTTTGGGGGTAGGGGAAAGTGCTGCTCATGCCAGCGGAGCGACTGAGTGTCCAGAAAGTCCCCGCAGCTCTCGGTGGTGACGGTTTTCTAGTGAACACAGCCTGCTAAAACACGAATGCGGTCCATCCGGGTAAGGATTGGGTTAACCGATTAACCTGTGATTTGTTCCTCTGACTTTTTAGATGCATCCAATAGCAACTATTTGCATTCTCATGAGTCCTGAGGGCCTTTCTTTATTAAATGCAGTTAAATTGAAGCAGAGGTACTAGATTATGAGGTCTGAAATGTGTTTCATCCTATAAAAAGCAAAAAAAAAGTTCGTACTGTCTGCTAGGTCAGGCAAATAGAAACCTCCAGTGGCACCAAGTGCCTGAACCTGAATGTTTCTCCAAACCATGCGTTTTTTCCTAAACCTTTGCTTTTCTTTGCTAGGTAGTGTCATCAGTAAGCTAGAAGAATGTCTGCTTTAGACAGTGTCCTCTCCATGCCTCAAGGCATGCCTCTCTCCTTTTGCTTTCCATGTTTTGCAGTAATTTAACCGGGCTCTTCCAAGTGTGTCTCAGTAGTTTCAGAGTCTTTAATTTTTCTTGTCAATGGGGAAGGGATTCATTTTGCAGACTCCCTGCTCATTAGTCATTTTCCCCGTAACGTGGAGCAATTTCCAATTTTGCATGACCCAATCTAGCCCATAATGTCTCCCTTCAGAAACTGCATCCAGGAATTACTTCAGGCAAGAAAGAAATACCTGATTATTCTCTCCTCCAGAATGAGTTCAGAAACTTGCTCTGTCCTAATTTGGCATGGGGTCTGGGTTCGTCGATTCTTTTTACCCAGTTGAAAGAGACTGCTTTTCAGTTCTGCATGCTTCAGAGTCCCCGCTTTAATAAACAGGCGGTAATGTACACCATTGTTTTGACAAGAGGCACTAGTTATGCCGAAATCTTATCCCCTGGAAAATGGAGCAGGTGTTTTCCAGCCAAGCTGCTGGGCTGCCTGTGTGAGCCACCGCCAGCAACCGCTGATGAGGAGCTTGAGTTCAGAGTTAAGGGACGTTGATCCTGTCGTGATGGAGGTTGAGGTTTGAACATGTCCAAGGGGAAGCTGGAACAGCTGCCTTTGTCTTCCCATGGTGGGGAACAGAGCAGGTTTTAATGAAAAGCGGGTGAAATAGAGTTGGTTTATTCTTTTTCTGAATCCCAGTGATAGCCAACCAATGGTTCCTATTCCAGGCACGGTGAAGCCTGGTTTTTTAGCAAAAATAGCCCAGTGTGACTGGTGTGACTGGACCTGCGGCGGCTGTCGGTGTCAGCAGGAGGTACCGTACCTATATTTCATACAGCACAGCTTCCCTGGGCAGAGGCTGTGGGGCGACTGTAGTCAGACCATAACATGGCATCAGTAGGTGCTGACGTTTTACTGGAGTAAACTGAGTTTCACCAAATGAATTGGGAAGGGTGAAGAGTTACCATGCCAGGAGGAGCCAGTGCAGAGCAGTTAATGAAGCGAGGAAAGAACAACAGACGGTGCCAGCGCAGGCTGACTTCCCCGTGCAGTAGCAGGGACAGCATCTCGGAGCACGGCAGCGGAGGGATATTAAGTTTCAACAAAACAAACCCAAAGGACATGAGAAACCGGCAAATGTAGTCTGTGTTCTGATGGCAAAGAATCGCAGAATCATTTAGATTGGAAAAGACCTTTAAGATCGTCAAGTCCAATCGTTAACCCAGCACTGCC